GTCGGCCCCTTTTCCTAAACGACGGAGCCGAACACGAGCTATTCTTGAATAACGAGCTTTTTTTTGACAACCCTCCCTAACTACAACTTTTAAAGATTGTGGTTGCCTAAAGTTTGAAAATACTACTAAATCTATTTTCCGTAAATTTTGTTTTTATTCTATATTTACGCTATTACTTTTAAAAATATCTCTACCAGGTGTGTTTTCTAGTTTATTTCAACTTTTTATTTTTTTAAAATTTTTATAATACCTATTTTTTAAAAAAAATAATTCAAAATAATTAAAAAAAGTATATATATATTGTAGTATTCTCATAGGATTAAAAATACTCCTTTTATAGAATTTTTATAAATAAATGGCCGAAAGAAAAATAAATTATAAATAGCATTAATGTAATTGCTGTTTAGAGAAACAACAAAATATTCAGTTATATATAGCAAACAAAAAAGTGGAAAACACAAAGCAATTTGCTTCTTTTTCTGCTTTATTTCTATTTACAGGTACAGACATACTCATCAAAGAGCAAAAAAAAACAAAGGAAGAAGAAATCTCGGTTTATCAGGGTACACAGGAGAGGGAAAAAAAATGAAAAACAAAAAAGCTGAAGTTTATAGAACTTCGAATTTACATCATCTACAATCGGTCGTAATTACAGCGGGTATGATGCTTATTTACCGTTCAGGATTCATTTAAGATTGGGCAAGCATGTCGCACTGCCGACGCTGGTAATCCATGGATGCCCTGAAACGAGACGAGAGATCCCACTTAAGCTCAAGAAATTGAGAATCAAACAGTAGATTCAGACGAATACCAAAGTTTCACCGATAAACCCTAAAAAAAAACGGAAGGGTTTTCGAGCAATTGATCGGCAGAGTTAAATGAACTTACTGAGAACTTGATCCGGAAAATCGACGCGATACATCTTTGCAAACCATCCGTCGCATCAGATCCTTGGCCGCTGAGGAAATTCCCCCAAAAATCCTAGTGGGAAAACGGAGATTCCCTCTCATCACCGACTCAAAAATCTCCTCCACCGTCTCCCCATAAAACGGAGGGATCCCTCCCAGCATTATGTACATCACAACGCCCGCACTCCACACATCAACCTTCTCTCCATAATCCCTACCCGCAACAACCTCCGGCGCCACATAGTACGGCGTACCCACCAGACCGCTCATCAACGCCCGCTCATCAACGTCCCCTCCCCAAAGCACTCGGCCGATCCGAAATCTGCCAGTCGCACTTTCCCCTCTCCATCAAATAGCACATTGTCTGGCTTCACATCTCGGTGTGCGACTCCCCTCCGATGACAAACAGACAACGCCTCCATGATCGCCGCCATCACTGAAGCAGCAAGGGCCTCCCCCATCGGCGCTCCTTGTCTGGCGGCGATCCGATCGAACAGGTCGCCGCCGTCGCAAAGATCCATCACAAGGTGGATGTAGGAATCATCTTCGTAAGCAGCGTGAATCTGGACGGCGTGAGGATTTCCGGCGGTGGCGATGTGGGCGATCTTGGGCTCTCTTTCGGCGCAATCAAGGTCAAGGGCGTCGGTGAGTTGGGCCTTGTCGACCGATTTCACGGCAAATACCTCGCCGGAATCACGCGAGTAGCAGCGGAACACGGAGCCGAATCGGCCGCGGCCGATCTCTTCTCCGATGTGGTATTCTCTTGTCAGTCTCTCGCTCATACCTTTCGGTCTCCTAACTTTTTTTAACCCTTCCGTTCCCATTTGATCCGTATTTATAGGGTAGCGGCTGTGGGATCTCGGAGCATATTCCCTTGAGAGAAATTAAGACGGTGAGGGAATGATTGGGGTTGAATAGTTAGTACCGGGAAAAAAATGAGTCTCGCTGAGAAAGTAAAAGAGATTTGGGCCTCCCCTTGAGTTTATTTTAGAAAAAAATAAATAATAAACACACGATAACACTCTCATAAAAAACAAAATTTTAAAAATTAAAAAGAAAATCAAAAGAATGTGGAAAATAAAATAATATGATAGGATAACATATATTAAACAAAAGAATCCGAGCATTAGAGAAGATAGGTTTTGTATATAACAAAAATATCAGCACAGATCTCAAAGAGAACAAAAGCGATCAAGAGGAAAGGGTCTTCTTTCGAGGTAAGCAATCGACCAATGATTCGAGGCAAAGTGTAAAGTCGCATCTCCAAACCTAGGATAAGTTCAAGCTCCGGATATGGTTTCCCACTCGATAGTAGCAAGACCCGCCAAAAGTGAGGCGTGAATCATCCCGATAGCGAGTCTCGACGGATACCCTGCGTGAGCTACGATAATATCTGCTTAAGACCATGCAAGATGGGGAGATTTGGCTGATGCAATGAAACAACTTGGCAAGCGAGACACGAGCCCTGTAAGACTCGAGTGGAATGGAAAATGAGCCACGACTCGTTACGAAAAAAGCCGGTCAATCACATTCGACCAACCAACCCCGCGTCTAAATCGAACAACCACCTCACAAACCGACCACACTGGTCGACCGTGTCAAAAGATAACGAGCAAGATTTCCATACAACTGAACACTTTGACCAAAAAATGCGCACTCTAGAAGACTCAGATACCACTCGGCCGCTCGTCTCTGTCGGTTGACTTCAAGCCAGCAGACTAGCCAATTGCTGTCAATGTTGAAATTCAAATTGTAATACAAATATGACATAAAATCTATGCAATCAATTAAAGACTTAATGACATTAAGATCAGTTTTCAAAACTATTCCCTTCTTTCTGCAATTGTACAAAACACGTCTCTATAAGTACGATACAAATATATGAATAAAGGAACATTTCCTTGATTTTCCCAAAAAAGATCCGAGACTTACTCAACTCTCTCTTCCTTCTCTCATTCACTCAGCTCTGACTCTCAAAATGTGATCCACAATAACAAACTAAGATCCAACATCTAGAAAGGTGGTGTGGCGAGCGTGGACATGTCCCAGATGAGAAGCATAGCTAAATACGAAGGAGAAAATTCCCAAATAGAGATAAAGGACATGGAACTCAATATGGAGAGTGCACAACCAGACATCCAGGCACACATCACAGGGCTATAAACCTAGATGATTCTCTTGATAGAGCAATTTGAGATCCTCTGAATAGCAATCACCCAGAGGGACGACCAAACGCCTCATCTAGAGGCACAACCTCAGGGGGTCCGTCCTCAGAGGCCCCCACCAGCAAACCCACTTCTCCTCAACATCCAAGTTAGCAAAAAGTGGATGGAGGGCTAAGGCGAGTCCCAACACACTGACACCGTGGCGCATTCGCATAGGCAAAAAGATGATGGGAAAAGAAAATGTGGCTACCTGTCAGGTCGCTCACGGGAGTGGCATTACTCAGCAAATCAAAGAAGTGATACCTACCCCGCCCAAGTTGAGAGTCCCTCGTCAAGACTCCTATAAGGGATGGACTGACCCAATCAATCGTCTAGCGTCTTTCGAGTCATTGGTCGGTCTACTTCAGGTTGATGACATGCTATGTCATCTCTTCTTAACCGCCCTAAAGGAGTTGGCCCTCCAGTGATTCAATAATCTATTGATCGAAACCATTCTGAGTTACTACAAGTTCAAAAGGCTCTTCATTTCACAGTTCTTTAACACGCAAAAACCAAGGAAGGACTCAGACACCCTGTTGTTGACCTCATTTTTTATGAGGTCAAATCTTTTCTCTAGAAACTAAGATCTAGCCTTAGGACTTTCCATTAGACTATCTTACAAAATTATAGATGGAATTCACACCCCACATAAAAATTCAAAACATATCTTGACACCTCTTGTGAAGTCTCCCATGAGTTGTCACAAGCCCCCAAATATCTTTTGGGATGGCTAAGACCAACATGTGATGACTTAAGAGTGGGTTCTTATAGGTTCAATACACCTTAAGACAATCCTGGGTGACTTCACATTGCCCCAAATTTTACCTAATTATCCTAGAATACCCCAAGGAGATGGTTACACTAGAACCATCTCCTTAACTCTTTGAGAAACTCATATGGGTGATCTCAAGCCCTTAGCCTTTGGCTAAGAAGGCTAGGACCATCATGAGGATACTCAAAAATGAGTTCTCATTTGGTGTCCTATGGTTCCAAGATGGCTAATCATGACATGCATGATCATCTTACCCAATTTTTCCAAAATACTCCTAATGTCGAAATACCCAAAACTCCTCAAATTTTTAACTTCACACCAAAAATCATTTCAACCCATTTCAAATTGTCCCAATGACCCAAAAATTACCAAATTGCCTTAAATTTTCAATAATTGACCAAAATTCCCCAAATTCTCAAAATGCCTCTAATGCTTAAAACACTCATTTTTCCCACCCCAAATCATTCCTAAACTCTATCAAATTGTCCTAATTATCCTAGAATACCCCAAGCTCCCCAAAATTGACCAAATTGACCCAAATTTCCCAAAATTACCAAAGTAGCCCAAAATCCCCAATTTACCCCCACTTTTCATTAAAGTCATCCCAAACCCAATTTTACCATATCCAAACCCAATTCTACCAAATTCAAGCCCAAAATGAATTTTCTTTTCATGGCAATCCCCTTGTATTCCATTAAGCCCACCATAATTAAAATTAAAAGCCCATCTTTTTACAGCCTTCCATAAACAATTTTAAAAGCCCACAACACAAGCCCAAACTTTGAAATCCAAAGGCCCACATGGCAAATTCATTATCAAGTTTTTTTTCATTGCCCATTTAATCAAATTAAACCATGTCCATACCATACATGCTTGAGACCCATCCAAACTTAGAATTTTGACTTCACCCCACTAAAAATCCAAAATTACCAAATACCTTTTCATGAAAACTAACCATGACCCGTGCATGTCATGAAAGCATCCATGAAACCATCCATGGGCATCATATGACCCGTAGATACCAAATATTGTAAACTAAGGACTTCCTTTCACTTTCCACCAAATCATTCAACCTCTCTCATGAAACCACTAAACACCAATTTACATCATTTGCTATAAAAGAGTAAAATTGTAATTTCCTAAAATGTTATATGTTGGAAGTTGATTAAATTGAATGCTTCTAATGTAAGGGGCTTATGATAGGAAGACATTAACTCACTAATTGAAAGCCCCTAATTCATAATTAAGTGTGATCATTTGACTTTTGAATAAGGATTAAACACCTTGATACTTAATATTTTTAAATTTATGAATTTATTTTTAAAGGATTTAAGAGCTTGGTAGTCAACTAAGTTTGATTCAATATGACTTATTGAGGATTAGAAAAGTGAATGCAATCAATTATAAACATCTTTAAAGCACTATAAGCTCAAACTTAATCTAAAGAGTAAGAGATTTTTTAATAACTACATTTATCCCTAAGGGTACTTATCCACATAATTCTTAAATACAACTTCAAATGGATGGCTTGTTACCCTACTCGTGGGTTAACCCAAAATTAATGTTCACTGAACACAAGTTAAAAAGTTACAACTAAACCCTAATTTAATCAGGACTGATTAATCCAACAGGACAAAAAGGCCAAATGAACTGGAAATTATCCTAGAAATTTCAAAGTTTTTTTAGGGTTATGCCCCTAATATCTTTGTAGGATTTTGGATATTTCAAAGGACATTTAAACTTACTGATCTTTATTGGAAAAAACCATCCTCAAGACTCATAGAGATACACCAAGATTTTTGTAAGGACCCGTTGATTTATAAATTCAAATAAAATACTCCACCCTACTTATCCTACACTTGAACCTAATGCTCAAGGGTTTGAGTCTTGAGTAAAGTATTCAAATCCTTGTGAGCAATTGGGGATATTTATTTTTTTCACATATCAATCATCGAGCTAGTATAAGCCAGAGGTCTTGGTGGTGAGGGCGATGATGATATTGCTTATGTGTGTTGAAAAAGAAAATTTAATGTGGGATTTGGAATAATACCATCTACCTCGAGGGTTGACATGCCTAAAAATTACTTACTTTTTCATATATATTTTATGCTCAATTTTAATGATTTTTAATGATATTACACTTTAAAGAAAGGTATTTTGCATATTTTTTGTTTCAGATATAAGAAATAAACTTTTGGAGAAAATGAATAAAAAATTGTGCAATTTGGAGTAAAAACAAGCAAGAAAGAAAATTCTGACTTGGCACATTTTGATATGTCTTTCTACGCTTAATCTTCTTTAAATTTTTCATATGTTTTGAATGAAATTACATTTTAAAAAAAGTTTTTTTTTTCATGCTTATTTTGTAGGTACATTTGTTAGGAGCAAAACACAACTAAAATGGGGCGAAACAGAGCTGAAACAGAGCCAAACGGAGCAAAACAGTGGAGCTACTGCAGAGTGGCACATGATGTTCCAAACTGGCGCATGATGCGCCAAAATCCAGAGAACTGGTGCATGATGCACCATGGAGATGAAATGACTTAAAGTGTTTCAAAATGCAGATGACTTTTTGCAGATTAAGGTGGTTTGAGACAGATTTCGGGCGAATTTTCAAAGGGACACTTATTATAAACGCCCCTTGGAGTGATTCAATACATCTAGACACTTTGGAAGTTCCTTTTATGTAGGGATATGTCTCTTTGATCAGTTGACATGTATTTTAAATTCAAAAGAGTTGTGTTTTAGATAGAATTTTGGGAGGAATTTTGAATTCTTTTTGGAGGGAGGCAGCCTTTTATAAAAGAGAAGGAAGTTTAGGGCTTGAAGAGGAGTTTTAGGGCATGAGGTGTGTGTGTGTGTGTGTGTGGCATGAGAGAGAGAGGCAAGAGCTTGTAGATTTTCTTCAAGGATTGTAAGAGGAGAGAGAAGGTGAGAAAATTTCTTCTTCATTGCACCTCTAGGAGAGAATTGAGAGTGCTTGTAAAGAGAGAAAGGTTTGAAGAGAACTTATAGGGATTTGCTTGGGAAGGATTATGAGATAAGTT